TTCCCAACACCGACCACCTCCCCAACACTCCCCGTCCTCCCCCACCCCGAACACCGCCCACATCCTACCACCTCGGACGACCACCCACCCCTCAACCCCAAACAACCCCATTGTGTAGAGCGTCAGACCGCTGCACATCACGAATAAGCCCAAAATGAAGAGCGTTGAACCGCTCAGCAGGGGCTTTGGACTCACTGTACCGTACTCACGGAATACCGCTTCGTAATAGTGCTGTATAATGCAGCACAATATCGCCGCTTGGGAAAGATGGATATCCAGGGGCGAGAACAGTGAGTGGAGGGGGTGAGGCAAGGAGAGGGAAATAATGATGGAGCCTCTCAAAGTTTGATGCAAAAACGCATGATCGCACCGGCTCGCCTGGTGCGTTCCAGCCTGGGTTATTTATGGCATAGTTATCCTAAATTTTACCGAATTTAACATTTACTGATAGAGAGTGAGCACGCTGTATCAGCATAATTGGTAAGTTTGATTAGGTGGGTCAGCATTGTGCGTAATTACATATCTTTAGAGGTGGTCGTCGTTTGCTTAAACCTTATTAGCGATCAATTGTTTTTACTTGTCGTTTTTTCTGTCTCGCTTTTCTGTTTATAATAAGCATAAATAATACAGGAAATAAATAAGTAGATAATACAGCTGTCGCAAGCTGAACCTCTTTTTGAAGGATTGTTATAGACTGAGAGAGAATCGAACCACACCTTTTTAATTCCAAATGCGACGTGTTTTCCACAACACCATGAACTGTTGTGATTTTTGGATCGCATATCTGATGTGTGTATATGCCAGTTGTGTATACTGTGCTCTGTACTGTTGATGCAGCGAAGTACCGGCTTTTTCACGGGACTTCCGCTAACAACAATTGCTGAAGGTGAATTCCTGACAAGATAGCTAATTGGAATAGGAAGAACTGAGGCGTAGGAAATCTGGGCAACGGGGACGGAAAATGGAACTTTGTTGAATGTGCTCTGTAAAACTAGGACAGACGATGCTTGCTCCGAATACAGAGTTTTATTTGCAGGTGCTTCAAATGTCTATCTGTAGCGACGGACATCCATCTGCAGGTGAAGCATACTCTGGAAATGCATTTCAACACATAATGATATCGAATGTTGCAAAGTGCCTCACTTTTGATTGTGGTGGATTTGAATTCCCGATTTTTCAAAATGTAAATTGCATAATTTGGTGGTTGTGATTAAGCTTTTTGTTCCCTAATTCGGTAGAAAATATTTCCTGAATTCGACGAAATCGAATAGTGCCACTTGCTGTTTGAGAGGCAAGTTCAGGGGATTTTTTTTGAAATCCATTTGAACTTTTCGGCGGCTTTGAAAAGTATTTCAAGTCTGAAGTGATTTCCGCAATTTGTGATTATCAGTCAATATCTTGTTAAGATTCGAAATTAGTTGCTCAGTCTGCGTAAATGTTGTAGTTAATTATCTGTAAATGCCATGGTTACGTGTCTGCTCTCATACCGGTTACTGATTGCGTGTTAGTCATATCCTGGTTACCCTTCGCACTTATTTTATCCGGATTGTTCCTTGTGTCGGCCACTTATCCTATCCCGGTTATCCCTCGTATCGGTTACTTGTCCTGTCCTAGTTACGTGTCGGTTACTTATCTGTAAATGCCATGGTTACGTATCTGTCCCCCTCGCACTCTCCTCTAAATGTCTCTTTTCCTGCTTACTGCTTCGGCTTTACGTTCGGATTTGTAAATAGGTGCCGCTGCTTGGCTAAAACTTGATAAAATTGAAAATTCGGGCCGGAAATTGAACCGAAAAGGCGCCAATTCTCATTTTTATGGCTTCTAATAGTGTCGAGTAGAGAAAAAATCGGCGAGGATATGAGGAAAAATCTGTTTTTCCTCGAGCGCCGAAATCTGGAACGTTGTCCCTCTTTCGTTCCTTTCGCCTTTCCCCCAGTCTTCTTCATTCCACCTCGTTTGCTCATTTCAAACATTGTATACATTTGTTTTATTGAGCACATTGCACATGTCGCTGTAAAACAATTTTTGTTAACACATCTTCAAATGTTCTTATATTATGAGTCACTGAAGAAGGGAAATGTTCTGTTAGCTGATTCATAGCTTGCTGCGCTCTGAGAATGCCTCTTTTTTTGAACGCGATGATACGACACGATAAGGATCATTCCGCGAGATTTTAGTCCCACCATTTGACGAAATTTGTTACATCAGAAAATTGCTGTTTTTTTTTTTTTTTTTTGCGTTTGACAATATCTTTTAACAATTACTCAAAGTAAATAGTTGATAATCTACATCTGGCTCGAATTATTTATTGTTAGGAACGACGAACTCTGAAGCACCTGGGACAAGTCTTCAGAATCCAGACCAGTAAAAGGCAGTTAAACTTCTTCACCCATATCTTCTATGACCAATAACTCCCATGGCGCTGGTCCTGTATCTGAAAAACCTATTAATTCATAGTATTTTTCTTCATTACCAGCTTTTTCAGTTATATTGACCAGTTGTTACTTTGCCTGACCGATAGCTTATTGACTTTCTGGACATTCATTTTCTTGTCTCCTAAAGGTTTGGTTTTTTTTAAAACAAAATTTGATGTGACAAAATGAATGCCTTTCGCTTTTGCACTCTTAATGAATAATTCTGCTTTATTGACACCATTGTTCTCATCCATGTTCATTCCCGGTGATGTTGGGTGAATGAAATTTGTACATGGTAGTCTGTGTTTTTTTTTATCGTCTGTTTTATTATCTGTTATCGTCTTTTTATCGTTTTTTATCGCTTTTGATTTCTCGAAAATTTCGGGTAACAAAATCCCTTTTGGTTGTAAGGGATTTTTGAAAATTTTTGAATTTAATTAGTCCGATTTTTCGAATTTTTTCGTGGCTTTATTTTTTAGTGTACTGTTTTCATTAAAAAAAAGTCTTTTTTGGTTATAAAAAATTTTCGATAATTTTAGAATGTAATCAGTTAAATTTTTAGAATTTTTTCGTGACTCTGTTTTCTAGGGCGCCGTTTTCGTTAAAATTGTTCTTTGAAGTTTTTTGTTACATCGGCTGGAAAAATGTTATGCGTCTTTTGTTTAAATGCTAAATTTGTTTAATGTTCTTACGATATGCAATAAATGAATGTGAATTGTGGTGTTGTTTGCGAACACGGGATGCTTGCCTGTTCAGTATGTGTAGAATCTTCTCTTGCAGTCTTTCGAGCCGCTTTTTTTGACTTCCACATTTCTTTGTATCTCATTTCTTCTCCCGAAATGGAACGGAGAAATTCGTTTGGTGTTTAGAACTTGCTGTGCTTTCATTAGCAGCAGTTGCGTGCCCCTTTTCAGCCTCTAACTGACAACGATGATTATTTCCGTTCCAAGCATTGTATATGATGCGAGCAAGTACAATTTATCTCAATGACATTCTGCCAATATTAATTTACTGCTGACTTCTTGAAACCAGCTAATTTTAGGAAGCAATAAAGCAGTAAGTTCTTCAATTCTTTCACCAGCGACTTCAACTGCTTCATTTCTTTTGACACCTCTCTGAACTTTATTAACTCGGTTTTTTTTTTTTACGACTCAGTTTTTTAATGAATAAGGCATAGTGGATATAGCTGAAAAATAAAATAATTATTAAAATTTAGAGATATCTAACCATCCAATAAAATCTGTTTTTTGTTAATAAAACTTGCTAAAATTCCGTGAAATTTTTAAAAACACTGCGCATCTTTGAAGACGAAAATTTGAATTACGAATTTTTTGCAGGAACCTGATATTGCTTTCGTCTGCCCTCCCCTCTTTTCCACCTTCTCTGCTACTGCATCGTAGGGCAAACATGAGAAGTTTCGCTTAGTAATTCAATGTTTTTACACTTTTTGTGCTACAACAGTCAAAAAACGCATGTTGTCAAGTGAATTTCAAATTGGTAACTAGAGAAGCTAGGAAGCTGAAATTTTAAGAGGGGATCCCCTACCCGCCTCTGACCCCGCAAGTTCAAAATCAACGCTCGCTTGCGCCTAGGTATGAGGCACAGCCAGATCAAGCCTTTGGCATCTACATTAATAATTCAGGAAGCACGAAAGTTAGGAAGCTGAAATTTTGGAGGAATAATCCTTGCCAGCATATGACCTCGTTAGGTTAAATTGAACGATCGCGTACTCCTAAGTCTCGCGTATGGACAAGTGAAAGTTTTGGTGCGAAAAATTTTTAACTGGGGAGAGGGATCAGAAAAGCAAGGAAGCTGAAATTCTAGGAGAATGTTCGCTGCTCGCGTTTGATCTCGCAAATTTAAATTCAGTCCCATCGTATGCTTAGGTCTCACATAGGGACGCATGGAATTTTGGCTCCAAAATTAACTTTGTTGATGCCACCTGGCAGCCTCGGCTTTTGACTTCTCATTTAGAAGTTTCTAGAGTAATGCGTTAATCCCATGCTACTTTTTTTAAATTAAAGAATACAGAATTTTGTCCTGTTTGATAAACAGATATATTGTCTCGCTTCTGATATGAATTTTCAGATAGCCGGATATTTTTGACATTTGAAAATGACAATTATTTTGCTATGGAAACGTTTTGAAATGTCTGAAATTCAGCGAGATATCTTCCCACCTATGCTAACTTATTAACAGCTCATTAATTCGGCTAAAGGTAAGCCGTTTGCGAGATCTTTTTTTTTTTTTCGTTGCCATGTTTATTCAATTTTTCAAGTGAAAAAAGGCTTCATTTCACAGGTGTGTTTTTGGTAAATGAAATGCCGGCAGCAGTGGATCGGTCGCGGAGCAGCAGTGATTCGATGAGGAATCAAATCGCATTTTGGTGGGCTTACTTGTTCACTTGTACTGTAAAATTCTTATTTAAAAACTCGTCCCCATTTTGTGTAGAAGTTATCCTGTCCTTGCACGTGAGTTGCCCTCACATTTTTTGGTTATTCTCCTAACTTTGTGCGAAATTTTGCCGCACTCAGTGCGTGAGTTGTCCCCAGTTTGTGTGGAAATGTCCTAATTTAATGTTTCAGGATGCTTGGTATGTGTAATAATTTCGCTTATGTGATTATGCTCAGTGCAGCGGAAGATATATTATCGGTTGTTGAAGATTCAAAAGCACCCACCAAAAAAACCGATGATCCTTGTCAGGTACCACTTACTGATAAGTATTATTTCGAAATTCAGTATTGGTTGTAGTGTACTACGCTTAAAATAAGTGAACTTTACTGAGTTATGGCACATCCAAGAATAGGATTCCTTTTTTGCGAACGCATGGATGAAAACTTTATTAAAAATCTCTCAATTTAGCAAGCGAGTTAAAAATTTTTGTGAGAAGTAGCGAGTTGTTTTTTAGAGATGATATTTGCCAGAAGTTCCGTGCTTTTGGCAAACATCATTCCCCCCAAAAAAAGTCCGATCTCTCTGGAAGCGTCGTAATTCAGTAAAATTTGTTGATGTTATGTGTAATATACTGCTGAATTTTGTTATGAGCTCAGGAACAAGTGCTGTTTTACTAATTAGCCCCTCATTTCAAGAGTCCAAACCTCGTCTTTACAGCTACTGAATTACTTACTTGAAATGATGCTTTTGTACTTTTCGAATTTGATGCTTTATATGTTTAGTGATAATCAAATCTGTCATCTCTGAATATTCTTCAACGATGCATTATTAATATGAGAGTTTACCCTGTCTCTTTTTTTTAATACTTTTTATTGCAGCATTCGGTAGTACGTCGTCACTGTTTTCCAATATCAACAGGTTCCGTGCTTCTGGCAAATATCATCCCCAGTCTGATTGTGAAGATTTTTTATCCATTTGTAATGTATCGAGTTCCATTCGGGTGAGTTTCTTGGCCAAAACAATGAGGCAGATCCGTTCAAAATTCATTTTTATTTGTCGAACAGGACATATATAGTAGCTGAAATTGCTGTTAATTTTCGGCCTGGTGCTTCAAATATGCAGCTGGCAGTTTTTCCAGTGTTTCTTTGACCAGTGCTGCATTGCTTGTTGTTCACTCTGCGTGCTGTTAGTTTCGTCTTCGATCACAGAAACCATTGGGTGGAATTCTGGCTGTGCGAGATTTTCTTCACGTTTGTTGAGCATCACGGTCTCTTAGCGAAAGTTTTCACTTCCTAGACCACGCTGAGGTACTTTATTGACCAAAAAATACAATGGATGAGTATCACAGAAAAAAGTGCTAAAAAAGGGCTGATTAGAAAGCGTGAAATCAAAACTACACAATAAATGATTTTTATAAAGCAATTACGATTTTTTTTAGTGTTTCGGCTTGGTGGTTACATAAAAGTCTATTTATGTCTGTGACAAAATTCTTTTTAAATTCAGTGGCCTTGGCAAGACATTTCGCATTTTTACGTTCATCTTTGATCTCTTTGTTTTCTTCCTTGCCTTTCATTGCAAATGTATACTCTGGTTTAATGGTTTTTATATATTTCAGGATGCGACATTTGGCCGTTGTCACGTTTCAAATAAGCAGCTTTCTAATGGTTGCATTCTCGGATAGCATCGCTATGGGATTAGCTGGTTAGTATTTCGTATTTTTTGAGAAATGTAATGTCTAAGATTCGATTGAGCCCACAGGGCAATCAGTTCCTTCACGATTCGTTTATTTGTTACCATGGTAAGCTGATTGTAGCATACAAATAATATTAAAAATTTAAATAGGGCAGGAATAGAACGAACAATGTATTGATGGATATAGGAATAAAGCTGGTATGGAAGAAAAAATTGGTACTGGCATTTGCCAGGGCACCAAAACGCCATCAGCTTGCATACAAGAAATTCTCGAAAGTGAAAGCCGTCGAAAGTCTTGCCAGCAAGTGATTGCTATTAGTATTTGCTACCACTCGGGCTACTTCTCGAGTGCCTCCATATCTTACTGAGAGCGAATACAGAAGGATGCCTTTGACTTTTTGACAGTGCTAAAATTTTGAATCTGTTCTATGGAGATTTCAAAAATATGCTGTGATTAAATAATGTTTTGCAGGTGTTGCTTTGGCAAGCATCGGAGCGGGTCTTGGTGAAGTCACTTTCATATCTCTCACC